AAAAAAAATCCTTAGATCAGTTTACTTGAAAAGCAGAATCACATGATATATTAAGACCTGTTTTCAGAGAAAATATCCTTATGTAAGTTTTCTTTCTTATGTATAAATCTAACAAATGAGGTTATGCTTAATATAAAATAAAATAAAAAAGAATACACCAAGGGTTATATGAGGAATGTTTAGGTATTTAATTGGAAAATAAAATAATAACTCTCATAAAGAAAAATAATTTTTACTGTAATAATCACACAAGACCATATTTTGTAACATGTTCCAATATGTAGTTACAGACGGATGAGTTTAGGTCGGTTACATAACATGTTAGTCTGTATTGTCTGTAGTTTGTGTTGCAGATCCAGTTTGGGTGTGGTGGTTTGAAACTGGTAACTAGCCCATGATTCTATCAGTCTGTTTCACAAGGCGGATGGGCGGAAACATAGGCCACCTTCACGAGTGTGAGCCAGTGATAACTCCTCACAGTTCTAACCTTCTCCTCCTTACTGTAACCCAAAACCCAAGCATTACTGTTCAGGGACTAAAAATAGACAAGATTCTCTCTGTCTCTCTGCCTTCGAATGAAAGAAGCAGTGAGTACTTTCCTCATGTCCCATATGATCGGTGCGTCTACTGTAATAAGATAATGTTGTCAGAAACATGTTCCCAAGTACACTGTACCCTCAGACCCCAAAAGCTCTTCCTGTACACAAATACTAGCCTTGTTCTTTTAATTCAGCTGGGCTTTGTGGCATTTTAACAATGTAAGCAGTTCCCTATCATGCCCTTTCAGTGGCTGGCTCTTTTGGCCAGGCTGAAAGTGACTTGGACTGGAAAGCAGGTTTTTCCATTCATTCTCAACTTCTACTGAAAGCGTTGAGGGACTGAATAAAGCAAGCAGCCATTATTGTGCCTTATTTGCAAGCCAAATACTGTAAAACAAGATTTTTTGTGTGTAAGTTTCTGGCTTAAACTTTTTATCTCTCTCTCAGGGCCCGCTGTCTCTGGGCGAGCTGTGTGAATTGAGAGTACCATCGAGCAGCAAGCATGTCTAAGAGTGATCCCCGAGACATTGACGAGGATGCCATCCTCAGGGGCCTCAGCGCCGAAGAGCTGGATAAGCTGGAGTATGAACTACAGGAGGTGGACCCTGAGGTACTATGCCATACAACTGTTTGAAACTAAAGCATGGCCAGGTTACATTTGAGTAGACTTTGAAATGTTTTGCCACATGCACTTATTTTTGAGGAGACACCAGTGGTAGATAAGATATGATCTAAGAAAAAAACATTTTTTTAACAACTTAAGGCTGGAATACACTACACAACTTTTACCGAGAGTTTTGACACTTATGTTGCTTAAAGTCAGCCTGCAGATTTGAGTTCACAGATTTCACAGAAAATAGTGTAGTGTATGATGGTCACAGACTCTTTTGTTTTTCAGCTTCAGATTATGATTCCATCCAGTTGTTTTGAGCCTATTTTCGAACACATTGTTTTCATTTGTCATGCGTCTCCTAGAAACGAGGCGCATGTTTATGTGTGAGTTTTTAGTGTTCGGAACAGCTTCAAAGTCTGATGTGTGTGATCCTCAGTTGTTTGGGGTATAGTGCTAGTTTTTAATCTGTAGCCATTTACAAATAAGTGTATGATGCAAAACACACAATCAAATAATAAAGGGATAATGTACAGTCAGCAGGTCATTATCGCAAAATAAACTCCAACAAGGTGTTCAGGACCTCTAAAGCCATTTTCACTACAAACGAGGCACAAGACATGAAAGTATTGGCGTTTCGGAACAGTGGCTTGATATAAACCATTGCCATGGGCGACAGCGAATATTTGAAAATATATGACCGCTGAATGCTATGATTGACCAATCAGAGTCAAGTATTCTGGAGAGCTGTCTTATAATTAAGCATAATTGCTGCTGAACTTGGCTGTGCTCAGAACACAATTTGTTAATGATAATTACTCTTGTGTCCCACTGGGAAAAAGTCCTACGAATCCTACTACAGATTTTTTTTGTTTAAAACTCGATTTTGGAAGGATGAAGCAGTCAAATGTGCATATGTGAATGGGTGATTTCTGATAGCAGAAATTATTTTAAACATAATCATTTTCTTGACCTTTCAGAATGCCATGCTTCCAGCCGGGTACCGTCAGCGCGACCAGACCAAGAAAAGTCCCACAGGCCCCTTTGATCGCTTCGCCCTGATGGATTACCTGGAGAAGGAGGCCATGGAACACAAGGACAGAGACGACCTGGTGCCCTTTACAGGGGAGAAGAGAGGTACCACCACCACTGGATTGATATTAACATAACATTTCTAATATCTAACATCTGAAATCCCTTAGTAAACAAATGCGCTTTGAAATATTCTACTGAAGGCATATTTGCCATTTATTAGCCGTCATCGGATGCATATATTAAAATAAAATTCTGAACTTTTATAGAATTAAAATGAATAATTCATTATTTATCATATTATATGTCATTTTCTAATTATAGTTGTATTATTTGGTTGTTTGTTTCTTTCATGTGCTTGCGTTTTAGCTGTAAGTAAAGTGACCATTTCTCTTTCTCTCTGCTGTCTGTAGGTAAAACCTTTGTCCCTAAACCAGGAACAGGACAAATCCCTACGGAGGAACAGATCACTCTGGAACCTGAGCTAGAGGAAGCACTGAAGAATGCAACAGATGCTGAAATGTGTGACATTGCAGGTGGGCATCCCATTTCTACTCAGTTCCTGTTGATTCTTTTCACATGATATAAAGCAACTTATGATATCCGGTCTGGATAGGCATTACAACTCTTCTAAAACTAATCCTCACTTTAAACCTGTAATGTCCTGTAACGGCTCTGAC